TTCAATGAGATTGTTGTTCTTAGCCTGATATCCTCCTTGAACTTACGACGCGATGAGTTGGGAATTTGTGAAAATTTGTATCTCTCGAGCACCCAAATCCTCGGCCAGTCTTAGACCTGCGAGCAGAGGCTCGTATTCTTCCTGATTGTTTGAGGTCAGAAAGGAGAGAGTGAGTGAATGTGTGATCATGATGTCGTCCTCGTTTCCAAGGAGGATTCCTGCTCCACTCTCAGTCGAGCTAGAGACTCCGTCTACAAAGATGGTCCACTTGTGCTCCTTCCCTGTAGGGGGGTTATGTGCGGTCACCTCAACGACAAAATCGGCCAGAGCTTGGGCCTTTAGAGCCTTCTGACTTTCGTACTGGATGTCAAATTCCAAGAGCTCTAAGGACCACTTTAGCATTCGTCCTGCCATGTTTGGTCGACCTAATAGCTGCCTCACGGACTGGTCTGTTTATACGATGATCATGTGCGCAAGGAAATAGTGTCTGAGCCTTCTCGCGGCATTGACGAGGGCCAAAGCCACCTTTTCGATATGTTGGTATCTGACATCGGGTCCTTGAAGCGCTTTGCTCGTGAAATACACGGGTTTTTGACCATCAAATGTCTCGCGAACGAGGGTCGCACTAACGGCTTCGACGGAGACGACCAGGTATAGGAATAACGTCTCCCCGTCCAGTGGTCGTGACAGAACGGGTGACTGTGAAAGGCTCTATTTGAGATAGAGGAGGGCTCGTTCGCACTCCCCAGTCCACTCGAAAGTTGTCTCCTTGCACAAGAGTTTGAAAAATGGTAGGGCGTGTTGAGCGGATTTCACAACAAAGTGGGAGAGCGAGGCGAGCATACCATTCAGGACTTGAATGGATTTTTTTGAATTAGGTGTAGGGAGATCAGAGAACACCCGACACTTGTCGGGGTTGACTTCGATTCCTCATTCTGTTAGGTAAAACTCGAGGAATTTTCCCGCCTTGACCCCGAATGTGCACTTCTCGGGGTTGAACCTCATTCTACATTATCTTGCTTGGGCGAAGACTTTTCTAAGGTAAGTAGCATGGTCGATGTCTGCTCGAGATTTGACGATCATGTCGTCCATGTATACCTCAAGCATATCTCTGATCTCGTTGTGGAAGACTTTGTTCATCATCCACTGGTATGTTGCTCCGGTGTTTCTCAGACCGAAGGACATTACATTTTAGTAATAATTACCCGAACTGGTCATGAATGCAGTGCAATGTTGTCACTCATTGCCATTGGGATTTGGTTATAGCCTGAATATGCGTCCATGAAAGATAAAATTTTATAACCGGTCGAGTTGTCGACCAACATATCAATATTAGGCAAAGGAAATGCATCTTTGGGGCATCCCCGATTAAGATCGATATAGTCAACACACATACGCCATTTCCATTACTTTTCTTAACGAATACAACATTAGACAATCAGGTTGAATATCGGGCTTCTGAAATGAAATTTGCCTCTAGCATGTCTTTTACAGTTTTTTCAACAGCCTTCATTTTCTCGGGGAACTGCCTACGCCTATGTTATACTACTGCCCTAACGACTGGATTGATGGCGAGTTGATGACAGGCGACCTCAGGGTCGAGACCAGACATCTCCGCGGCGTTCCACGTGAACATGTCTTTATTCTCCCTCAAGCAGACCTTGATCTGCTTCCTCGCCAAGTCGGGGAGTCTGATGTCAATATTCACCTCTCTGTTAGAGTCTTCACCGAGAGGGACGAGCTCGAAGTCCCCATCCAAAATTGGTCGGAGGAGCTCCTGCTTGGTGTTGGAGGATTCATCTTGGTCGAAGCGAGTGTCCAACGAGATCGAGTTGACCATTGGAAGAGCTCTATGCACTTCTGCCTTGATGGGTTATGGCTCTGACTACCGTGGCTCTGGTAGCGTTGTTGCAGCTTTCTTCACGGGCCGTGCCCCAATGTCGACTGTGCTTTGTCCCTTAGCTGCCACGTTGAAGCATCTTCGGGCAGCCGCTAGGTCGCCCTGGGTGGTGGCGACGCGTGCCCTCTTTGTGTAGAACTTCATCTTCAGATGGACAATAGAGGGCACCGCGGTCATCTCTGTTAGTGTCGGTGGCAGTATCTTCGCCGAAGGTGACCATAAGCTTCACGTATCTCCGTGGCTTGGAGGACGAGCCATTAATGTCTTACAAGTCTGATCCCACGTATGGTGAAAGGTGAGAATCATCGAGCTATAGAGTTCTGAAAAGCTGGTTGTACATCACGTCGACAGAGCTTCCCTCATCAACTAGGACGCGATGAACATCAAAGTTAGCCATTCTCGTTCTGATCAGAAGAGGGGTGGCTGAATTGGAGGCCCCACTAGGTAATTCCTTGAGGTAAAAGGTGATTGGCTCCGATCTGCCTTTAACTCTCTCGAAGGTCACTGTTTGTGAGGGGTGGGGGGGAGGCGTCGACCAGCTCATCCAACTTCCTCTTTACGGAATTTATAGTCAAGTCATTAAGCCCTCCACCATTTATGACCATAGAGGAGGGGAAGCTTTTCCACCTGCTGTGTGTGGACAGAGACTCTTCCATGTGTTCGGGGACGTATAAGTCCTCTGGTCTCGTAACGGAGAATGCAGTCTAAACAAGAACCGACTCGTCAAATGGTTGAGCATCCTCCTCTGGCTCCCTTGTTTCGCAGGCATCTCGACGAGGGGCATCACTGTGCCGATACTTCCCGAGTCGCCCCCCTTTGTGAGGGTCTCAATAGCATCTTTAAGGTGAACACAATCTTCAGTCAAGTGTTCATGGCTTCGATGGTATGCGCAGTATTTGCTCTGATCTGCCCCAGGCTTAGCAGGAGCAGAGCGAGGACGCTTGACGCCGCCCATCCTTGAAATCTGTGTTTGCACACTCCGCCAAAATACGCTTGCGGGAAGCCGTTAGTAGAGTGTACTCAGTAAACCTCCCCGAGGGTCCTCTCTGCTCGCGAGGGTCTCGGAATTTGTCGTCCCTTCTCTTCTCGCCAGTTCGTCAAGGAGGGCCGGTGTCTTACCGCAGATTATTGGTCGATCCGCGATTCCTAGAGTCCCGGGCTCTGTTGGCCGCTTCCCTCTCCCCGTAGTCCATGTAGGCTCTGAGTTACTCGAGGAGGGCATCGAATGTCTGGGACAGTTTGATGCATATGGCCTTTCTGAATTATGTGCTCAGAAAGAGTCCCCTCTCGAGCAGGTATCTCTTCATGTGAACGATACAGGGGACCTGGATGGCCTCCCGATTAAACCGATCAATAAATCCTCTCAAGGTCTTATCGTGTCTCTGGAAGATAGCCTCGAGGGCTGATTCAATCTTTGGGCGTTGTCGCGAAGCAGTGAACAAACTGATGAATTAGTTCTTTAAATTTCGCCATGAGGTAATTAACCCCGGAGCGAGACTCTTATACCAGTCCATCGCAGTTTTCCTTAATCGTGGGAAACAACTGACATTTGATTCGTCCCCAACATTGTGATAACACAGCATGGCTTCAGACCCGTCTATATGGTCAACCGGGTCGACGATGCTGTCGTATTCTTTCAGGTGGGGAGGCTTCTCCGTGCCCAGGAGAATGGGTGCCTCCATAATGGCATGTGACAAGGGATCGCGGGGGTCGTCTTTGTCACTCCTGTCGGGCGAGCGAGAATGAGATCTGATATAGTGGTGGTTATGGTGACCCTGGTCACACTGAGCGTTCCTTGGACGGTATGGTCGTTCGTTGTTTCCCTTGTTCCTGTCTCTAGGGGGTCTTCGTTCTTGACGCAGGGGAACGTGATCGCGTCTCCCCGTGTCAACGGGCTGGTCCCTTTCTATTGCAGGGCGTCGCCTGATTGCGGGGCGTAGCCCGATTGGTCGGGGAGAGAGACTTTGAGAGACATGACTACGTCTCCGCGGGGGAGATCAAGGACGTTCCTCTACTTGGCGATGAGGAGGAGACTTGAGCCTCCTATGTCTTTTGGGGGCTCTCTGAGCATCTTCAAGCGCCCTTAATCTCTCTCCTTGAGAAGAGATCAGGTAGTTGGTCTGATTTATCGCCGCGAACAATGCCCTGGCCGTGGCATCTGCTCTGGCCGAAACGGAGACCTCATGGAACTGAATGGGTTGGTAGTTCTAGGAAGGTGGTCGATCGTCTTCGAGTCGTGGATGTATCGATGATGACGAGGCAGTTGCTCCGTCTATATAGTCAGAAGGCCCAAACATATTAATGGTGGGGACTGTGTTGTGGCCGACAGTCCTAGTGTTATCAAGGTCAACATTATTGTCGACGATGTTGTTGTCGACATCGACGATACAGACGTTCATGTTTTCTGCAGTTTGATCAGCCATGACAGTCGGAGGTGATTTAACTTTGGTCTCGAGTAAACATAAAACAGTAAAGCAAGTTTCCCACAGATGACGTCATTGATCTTACCGAATTAGAGTGGACTGTCACAGCTGGCTCGGGCAGAAGTTGAATGAGATGAGGGGGGGTACCTGCAAGACACTCTGATGACAAAGTAAATTGTAAAATGAGCAAACAAGCGTAAGAGTTAGAAAGTGTTGAATACCTTATCCTCTCAAGAGAGAGGGTATTTATAGTCCCCAGCGTTGGGCCAAGGTTCCCATTATTGGGCCATGTTGAGGCCCAACAACGAAAATTGCCAGGACTTACGTGTGTATGAAGTCCAGCAAATGACCTCCCTCCTAGTCAACTGCTCCGCGAGAATAAGTGTTGGACCTGAGATTTCTAGAGGGCAATTAAGATGACTGACATGAGGACGTGAGCCACGTTCTCCAACATATATGTGGGAAGTTGCTCAACAGTTCCTAACTTGAGTTGTTTGTTTAAATGTCATGCAAAGATATTGGTTTGGACTTCCTATATGAGTGGCAAGTGTAGGTCCAATCCAGACCACCTTCTCTGCAAATATGGAAGATAATAAAAATCATATCTAATAAAAATTTAGAGCAATGGATTGGTATTACGAAGTTGCTAAGGAATTAAGGTAGAGTCAAATTCAAACTTAAAGATTTAACCATCCTTTTTCAAATACAATTTCAATGGCTCTTAGCACACGGTAAAATTCTGCCAAAAGGAATTGTTCCGAGGCAATGGCTCTGCAAAAGCCAAAGAGAGAGCGTCATCTCATGACTTCAGTAAATTGCAATTCATGAGATAGAAGAGAGAATCATAATAAGATTTTTTTCAATTCTTAAACTAGGTGAGGTGAAAGATTAGAATATAATTTATCATATTAATAAAATAAATTTAAAATTAAAAAAATATTAATTTATTATTTATTTTAAATATTAAAAAGTGGATTTACCATTCATGGGTATGAATTTTCTCATTTGTTCTATAAGTCTGCTAATGCTTTAACATGTTAATTATATTTAAGTTTCATTATAGTGATAATCTATCTCATTTTGTCTGATTTATAAAATTAATTTTTTATTTTGATTTAAAAAGTTTTATTACATCTCATAATGTTTTTATCTTTAATTAACATTTTTTTTTTTAAAAATACGAAAATCATTTAAATTTAAAATAAAATTAATTTTATAAATCAGGAAACTTGAAAGAAAAGTTAACCTCAAATAAAAATGTTAGATAAAGTAAATACATTTAAGGCAAATCCACCGTCACAAAGCAACAAAAAAAATCAAGAATCATATCTTCACAACACAAAACAAGATCATCCTTATCCCTTTATACCTTTTTACGAAGCGGAAGGTGTGGTTACAGAAAGTATCAAAACAAGTATCAAGTACAAAAAAAAAAAAACAGTATAACAAATCAAATTCACCTTCTAAAGCACACACATACATACGATACGACGGAATAGAAAAGCTAAAAAATCAGATAAAGACAATCTTGAAAAGTAAGAACCAAAAGAAAATGCATATAGATTCTAGATCCCCTTTTCATCCAGTGCGATGAGGTTACTTTACCCGGTGTAGATGTGAACGCCAATGGCGATGAGTAGAATAGTGATAAGTCCAAAGTAAATGATGGCGTGAACAAGAATGGAAGCGCCACTTGTTTGCATGTTTCCGAACTCGATTATTCTTCCTCTTCCTGGTATTTGAAACAGCAGACCTGGACACAGAATCACGAACAGCACCACCGCTATGATCACCGGACCCCAGTCAGCCATTCGAAGATGCAGGCGAGCACGGATGGAGAGAATTGAAAATGGGGAAAAGGAGGGTGTGGGTGTGCAGTGAAGAAAGATCTGGAATTGTTTAAGAGGAGGAGTCGAAAAGAGACGTTTACGTTTGTTTTGAGGGTTTCGGAAACACAAAAATAGATGATTCTCTGACTGACGCGTGTTAACTTAATTTTTTTTTTGTAATTTCGACGGCTCAGATGTATCTCTCGGGATGCGCTGATACGGATTCGGTATTAAGAAAGCAAACAATAAAGAAATATTTTAGAATAAAATAGTACGTACTGTAACTTTTTTTTTGGGTATAATTTTGACTTCGAAATGCTAAAGCATATGTTAACAAATTCATAAAAGACTTAAATAAATAATCTTTTGTTTATGTAATTTAATGTCTTTTTATTTTTGTGTATTTTTTTTGGAATAAATTGAATTTCATTGGGTTTTAATTTTTAAAATGAAAATCTACAGAAAAATCAAATTTCTTGCGAATTTATCTATGAATTTTTTTTTTTAGATTTTAACTTAAAGGATTCAAACTAAAATAATTTTAACATTTAAAAATTATTTTAAAAAAAAATACAGGAATTAAAATAAAAAATGCGTCAATTTACAAAAACCAAAAAGACTATTTAAATTTTATAAATTTAAAAAAAATAAAAATAATTAATAGAATTAAAAATATATCTGTGATAAATTTAATATATAATTTCTAAGATAAAATATTTTTATTTAGTTCTTAACCTGTCAAATTCTTGAAGCATTTCAAATGGTTTCATCGAATCAAGTGTGGGTTACCGTATCATTGCAACTTTCGTCGACATTAATGATAGTGCACGGGCAGTTGAAAGAGTTTCATTTGATAAGACATTCTTCTATGTGCTTGTGTTAAGGGTTATTAAAGGAAGTGCAAAAGAAGTCTATCATCAAGTGAGCAACGAGAGAAAAAGGTGAAAAAAGACAATGGGATTATGGGAGATGTGTGTAGAGTTTTTGTTCCTCTAATCCCACTACATCCTCTCAGAAAATGGAGAATTATGATTGTTAGAACTTTGTTTTTAATCCGTACATTAGTATCTTGGATTGAGAAAAAATTTATAGGTGAGAAATCAAGGTTTACCCATAGTTTTTTTGAAACATTGTAATTTCGAACACAATCAAGGATAGACCCATCTTCCAGATCGTATTTGAAATATGAAGTTGAGGTTATCATGTTCTCATCATAAATTTGAGATAATCAGAACAAGGTTGTGACAAACGAGTCAAAGAGATATCAATCTTCTTCATCATGGTCATATCCACCCTCTATAGTCTCCTCGTCATCACTGACAAACTCTCCATCCATAATCTCTTTCTCATACTCATCTTATTTGAAGAGATATCAATCATTGGATAGAGAAATTGGACTTGTTCGATGGCCCGATGAAAAGCAACTTGAGAGTCAATAATGTCCTCATTGATAGGGATGTTGTATTCTCTCGTTTATCCCTGACAATAGTCTTATTCCTCCTTCAAAGATTTATGAGCGGCAAATAGCCATGATGAAGACTTTGTAGGAGAGGTTTTTGCTTCCTCTAAAGCTTTATTATTTTTAGCTGGAATACCTAGAAGGTCAGTAAGTTTAGCCGCTGTAGAAGAATGAGTGCCATGAATGTCCACCACTTACTTTTGAAGATCTATCCATTTAGCATCTTCGGACTTCCATAAATCAACCTCCTATTTTGATTGAGTCAACTCTATTTTGAAGTTTAACACCTTCTCCTGAAGATTAATGCATTCATAAGTAGCTATTTCATAATTGCTCTTCCACTAGCCCTTTCGTTCAAAAGGACTCCGGAAACAAGCACATTACTTAACCCAAAAGTAGCTGAAATTAGCAAAGAGGCACCACATAACAAATGGTACACCGTCTCAGGTACCAGTTCCATTCTCCAAGTATCATAAAGGCTTTGTACATAAAAGGCTTCTTGTTCTGGGAAGATTTTCGCACCTCTTGAGAAGTCCAAGGAACCCGGGCTGAAAGGATATCAGGGAGCTTCGTAATTGCATCATCATAGGTTTTGAGAGACATCCCAGCAGGGCGAGATTCATACATCTTTTATCTTCTTTCTAGCGCCTTCTACGACGGGATCATTGTCTTGGCCTCTTTTCCTAGGACCATTAGCTCAAGAAGGGAGACGATTGTAAAACTTCTTAGTCTTTCTTTCACCAAGGTTTGCAGAAATCGGATGAGGGATTACAAATGGTGAAACAACTAAGACAAAGGAAAGTGGAGATGGTGGGCCTGAACTATGATCAGAAATACTAAAAGAAGGAAAATATTTAGCAGCACTCAAATACCCCATGACTTTTCTACTTAATTAAATCTTCATGAGGAAAGTCGTCGTGTTTGCACACAAAGAAAAACAGTCAGAAAAAATAATAAACTTTCCCTCACCAAAAAATCCTTCCATTTCCTCGACGTTAGACACATCTAAAATGGCCCGGGAGTTAATAACTTGTTTGCGTTTCTTCATAAGACCAACTTCTTTGGGGGTCTTTCCTTCCTCATACCCTAACCCTTTCCAAAAGGATGCCATATATCTCTTTAGCATTCCCTAATCTGGAGAAAGCTTGTCCTCACCAAAATAATACTTAAGAGATTCTTTCTTGAAATGGTTCTAGGACTAATACTTCCTCACTTTCTCATGGCATGAAGAGGGGGAAAGGGGAAGGGTGGGAACATCCCGAAGGCGTAACTGGCTTAGTCGCGGACAGAGGCTCGAAGTCCTAACCGGATTAGTGACAGACAGAGGCCGGAAGGCGTAACCGGCTTCATGGCAGACAGAGACCAAGAGGCGTAACCGGTTTCATGGCGGATAGAGGCCCGCAAGCGTAAACGGCTTAGCGGAGGACAGAGGCCCAAAGGCGTAAATGGTTTTGTGACAGACAGAGGCCCAAAGGCATAATCGACTTTGTGGCAGACAGAGGCTCGGAGGCGTAACCGACTTCATGGTGGATAGAGGCCCGGAGGCATAACCGACTTCGTGGCAGACAAAGGTCCAGAGGCGTAACCGACTTAGTGACGGACATAGGCATAACCGACTTAGTGGCGGACAGAGGCCTAGAGGCGTAACCGGCTTAGTGGCGGACAGAGGCCCGAAGGCGTAATCGACTTAATAGCGGACAAAGGTTCAAAGACATAACTGGCTTAGTGGCGGACAGAGGCCCGAAGGCGTAACCGACTTAGTGGCGGACAGTGGCCTAGAGGCATAATCGGCTTCGTGACGGACAGAGGCCTGAAGGCGTAACCGGCTTAGTGGCGGACAAAGGCCTGAAGGCATAACCAACTTAGTGGTGGAAAAAGGGCCAAAGGCGTAACCGTCTTAATGGCGGACAGAGGCCTGAAGGCGTAACTGACTTCGTGGCGAACAGAGGTTCGGATGCGTAACCGACTTAGTGATGGACAGAGGCTCGTAGGCATAACCGGCTTAGTGGCTGACATAGGCCCTAAGGCGTAACCGGCTTAGTGGCGGACAAATCCCCTTTGCCCGAAGGCGAAGTTGACCGGGTTGTGGTTTAGATACCCTTTTCCCGAAGGCGAGGTTTACCGAGTTCTGGTTCAAAATTCCTTTGCCCGAAGGCGAGGTTGACCAAGTTTTTATGCAGAGTGTTTATACTTGTACTACCCGACCACAATCGATTATAGATTTTAAATTTTGTCTGACTCCAACCTAGTTTCAGAGCCCCTTGTTCTAGCGCCAAGAATAAAGTGCCTTCTGTCCACGAAGCGGAGAAGGACGACACCGCTTGCTTTAAAGTAATTCTAACAAATTCTTTACATAATTACAAAAACGATAGAAACCGTATCTCGCCTTTCAATAAGCGAAATCATAACTAGACATTTGTCCTCGTTCTCGGCCCTGGTTTTTGGAAAGTAAGTCTTTGACCGAGATTTGTACCTGCTACCTAAATTAAATAAGCCTGAGATGTCCTCTGACTTCCACTCAGATTTAGTTCGATCAACTTGTCTAATCAATTGATTTATCCTCTTAGATATCCGACTTATTTTCTTCATATGACATCTTGGCTTCTTTGGTAGAATGTATCTTCTTCGTTTTGTTACTCTTTTGTAAGATATATGCTCCTCCATCAATCGTGTTATATCATCTCTACGAGTTTGGAAAAATAGGAGGTGCCTCCCGTCCGCAGGGAGAAAAGAGCAACACCTATTGCTTAAAGTAAATTTTAAATAGTTCGTTACAATGACTACAAACGGCAGAGAGTCCATAGCTCGTCTTAAACAACAATAAAAGATAACAAACTTAAATATATAATTTTGTGTTCTCCGGCCTTTTGATAATCAATTGGTATCAATGTACTTCTTCCAAGAGGATTTAAAGTGCTTAGTACCAGATCTCATATGCATTGATCTTCTCATGATATTTCACTTGATTATATTGAGGCTGCGCCTGTGGATCTTCATGATGCCATTGCCTTTTCACAAATCATAACTGATAGAAAATCGTATGTTTACATACTCACATGAATACTTATGGCAAGCAGTAAAGGGTGTTTAAGACGCACAAGTAATCACATGCCCGTTTTTGTTAAACCTCAGCGATTACCTTCAGCATAGATGAGCTATCCCTTAACATGTCTTACGTCGCTTCATTTTGAGCAAAAATAACTGTATGCACATTATCATAGTGATGCATTTCTAAAACACAGTTGAGTTAATGATTTTTTCATAAAATATTAAATTCATAAAATATCAGGAGAACTGAAACGTATATGAATTATGTCCATACTGTTAAGGATGTGACCACACGGTTTCCAGGTACAATGCATGGTAAAAAAGATAATCACGCCATCAATAATCAATTTATGAACAACTTTCCTATTTATGCTCTAATGCACTGCTGTTCAAAACAATAATGAATAAGAAGGCACACAGACTAGCTATATCAAGTGCAGACTGTAATCAACAAGTTGCAATAACATCATATCCAAATTTGCATCCAAACAGAACTCCATTTTTAGATATCATGAAAATCCCCAACAAAGATAAACTTCAACCCCATTTAGAATCAAAGCAAATATGCCTGATATAAAATACTAGTATTTGAAAATTTTGAAAACTGAATAGGATGTAATAACACAAAGGACATGAAGCGTAGAACTCTAATCGACATGATGTACCCGACTGAGCTAAGATAGAAAAATCACTTATCTTTTGATGGTGGCGACAATGCCGTGATTCACCTGACATCAGGTCGGACATTCTGTTATCAAATCCTGCCTGCAGGGACCTGCAACAGGCGGTTTGAGCCTCATGTTTGTCGAAATCTGGAGGCGGCTATGAATTTGGTAGCCCCATTTCGATGAATCATTCCCGTTGTTTGTTGACCCAGACTAACAGTGGTATTGCTGCAAACTAAAGACACAAATGCATGAAGCATTTCAAGTCACGATGATTATCGGCTGCAATTCAAGTCGGACAGCTGTACTATTAAAGAGACCTCGAACAAAACTCAATCGTTAGCATATATTCTGATTACCATGGAAACATTTAATATAACTCAACTAATAGAATTAAAATAATATCGAAAACACGCTTAATATAACTCCATTATGATCAGTAGTTAAAACCAGTAGTCATTGCTTATCTTTTTGTGTGTGCAGGCAATGCTCCGACACTATGAATGTAATCATGCATCATGGCAACGAATTTTACCGAAGCCATTTATGTGGCCGATGATAATAAATCATGCTTGGATGAGATCGACGGAAAGTAGCAGGTCGACATTTCTATCATCTCTATACTGTCATCACTGTTATTGATTGAGCCGACGGCAGGCTCTAATGTTGTCGTTGCTGTTGGAGAGTACCACCAGGGGCACGCAATATCTGTCGGTTTTGAGATGAAGCTCTCACAACTACTCAAACAAGACGGATCCGTTTCCGTTGAGGATGTCATATATATGGAGGCTACCGCTACCACTGGCGTTGTCGGGTAGAACTCCGCATGATGACATGTCATCAGAAATAATAACATCACATGTTGCCCTTGAGTACGTTGCTAAGTTTTAATATCTTTTCTGCCTCTATAAAGTCTACGCATTAACAAGTAGGAGCTAAAGGTGTCTTAGGAATCAACAGAGATAAGCAGCGTAATCATACAGTCCTCATCAGTTTCCAACAACCAACATTCAATATTATCACAAACTCCCCTAGCGCAGTAAATTTGTAGGCAGTAAATTTGTAGGCAGTCATGAACCAGGTGATTATCTTAAAGGTCATAGCATAACTGAATTTATCAATTATAAATGATAATCAATTTACAGGTCATAACATTCGTGATAATTGTACCCGTTATTATTATGTAAAATAACTTATCTTTCAAATGGCGGCGTTGATAACGTGATTGCTCATACTCGAACCGCCGAGTTGTAATCGCACATACTTGTCCCGCGAATAATGACCAATTGGATCTCCGTATCTGAATGCTTTCAAATCCCGATGTAACTCGTGCTCCACTTGTTAAGTTTTTCTGCACCAGCAGTTTGTTTGATACTTTGTGTTTATTATCATCAAAACTCTAATTAAGGGTTGTAGAATCAAACTATGTTCTAACAATCTCCCCCTTTTTGATGATGACAAAAACTAGGATTTTCAATAAAAAATAGAGAACAAAAAGCTTAAGAGAGTCTCCCCCTGAGTTGATTACTCAGATAGAGATGAGTTACTTCCCTGAAGTTCCTTCTCGTTAGAGCTTTTGATGCATCTCCTTCTGTCCTTATCAGAATATGTTCATGTTCAAGCTTTCAGGAAAAAAACATAGAAGTTAAGATATTCAGAATGTTTGAGACTTTGTCCCGGTATACTGTTATTGAAAATATCTTACGTTCTCCCCCTTTTTGTCAGGTATTAAAAAACAATATAATCAGAGTAAAAAAGATGATTTGTATTGAAAACAGAATGCAATAACATTTTTCAGAAACAAAGAGGATAAGATGGAGAATACAGAAAATAAGTTAAATAAAATCTAAGAAGGAGGGGGAAGTCGTGTGAACAACACTTCCAACAAGCTCTTAATATGAGTGCTTGATTCTTCCTGCTTTCCCAGAATGTCTTTGATTTCTTTTGTTGTATCTTCGTGTTTGTATAATATACCCCTGATCTCTTTGTTTGTGTCTTCTTGCTTATCCAGTTTGGCATGGACTAAAGCATTCTCCTTCTTCAACTCTTCTAGAGTTTGCATGACTAGAGACGAAGCTGGTGTATATTCAGGGGTTGCATGTCGTTCAGAACACTCTGCAGCCTCTTCTGATTGAACAACTTCTTTTGTTGCAATTTCTTTTTCTGGAGTAGTAGTTAGAGGGTGGCCATCAGAATCTGGTTCAGTGGCTTCTGAAGGTTGGTGCTCTTTCCAGGGAGCATTTTCCAGCAGAAAAATTTCTTTCTTGTCCCAGTGACTTAGAACTTTATCTTTGAAAGCTTTCATCTTATCACTGAAGTTCTGCCGAGCCATCTCATAGCTCAATTCTTTCAACTTCTGGGATTCAGAGTTGAACCATTTTCTGAATCTATCCCATAGACAAACAGAAGCAGCAGGATTAGAATTCTCTTGACTTGCTTGCTTCAAAGAAGTAACCTATTCCTGTATTTTTGTTTCAAAAATCAACAAGTTCTTACCAACATATGATTTGGTTAAGGTTGGTTTGGGTTTGGGAATGGCAATTTTATTTGAGGTGGAAGCTAGATGGTCCAGCGCTTCTAGATCAATGACAGTTCTAAGATGATCAGCTGGACGGTCAATTGGTGAGGGAGTAGAAGAGTCAGAAATCAGGATTGGTGAGTGAGGAGTGTTTGGGGGTGTGGATTCATATGGTGAAGGTATTTCTGGAATATCATGAATGGAGAGAGGTAAACAAACCGTAAGAGGTTCTGTTATTCCAAGAATTGGGGTAGTGGTATCAGAGTCTGAAAGGGAGTCTTCTGATTGGTTTGCGGTAGCGTGTTAAATTTTAGGTTCAGGTGTTTCAAAAGTTGAATTTTTAGATTGAGGAGTGAGAGGGTTTTCATTTTCTGGTTAGGGTGAGTTGAGGTTTTGATGTTCTAGTTTAGGAGAGTGGTTGTGGATTTTCTGGTTGTTGTAACTGAATATTTGGATTTCCTGGGATTGGTGAGTGAAAGTCTTGATCAAACAGTTCAATATCAGAGAGAACTCTTGCAAGTTCTGGTTGATTTTGTTCTGGATTTGGATTGGGGGAGTGAGGTTCATTTAAGAAATTGCCAAGAGTTACAGATGGATCAAACTCTATGTCAAAATCCTCAAATGTTTGAGGTGAAGGATTTTCTGTTGGTTCAGGGGGAATGGTTTCAGATGTTAGAACAACTATTGATTCTACAACAAAAACAAAATATGGGTTACCTTTCTTTTTCGTAGCTTTGGGTGTCCTCTGAGAGGATCTTTCTCCTGCTACTTTCCTCTTTCTGGATTTCTTTAGCATAACCTCTGGAGTTGGCTTGTGCAGGTCACGGATGTTAATTTATGGAATAGTCCCATCTTCCTTGCAAGCTTCAAGGTATCTGACTACAATCTCTGGAGAAGCATATATCTCAGAGAATAGTGGAAAATCCTTTAGAGGGATTCTCCTAGAAGTGATGACCTCATGAGAAGCAATTGTTGGTTCCTTCTTAATGCTTTCAATAATCTTCATTTTCTTCAGATTCTTGGCATTCAGTGGTTTCCCACCAGTTGCTTCTAAAGTGCTGATTTCTTGAGCCTCTGTCAGATGTTCTATCAACCTGTTTTCCGTCAGAATATCTGAAATCAATCTTCCCAGAGGAATGCAATCCCTCTTAGTTCTTTCTTCTTCCCTTGTATCAGTCTTTAAGGGTGTGACGAAGTTGTTTTTGAAAACTGTTTTGAAAAGGTGTTAGTGTGAAAAGATTTGTTTTGAGCAAGTACCTATTAGCATCTACCTACTCGAAAAAAGATTGTTTTTGTTCTATTTCCTTTAGACATCGCTATCCCACTATTAAGGAGTAGGTAGCACCTTTGTTGGAGTTTGTAAGGGACATTTGAAAGGGACAAATACAATCACTAAAGCAATAGTTAGAAAACCTTAGTAGTAACCCTAGAGTCTTAAGATCTTTTCGAGGCAACATTTCTGAGGCAACATTTCTGAGGCAACATTTCCGAGACAACATTTCCGAGGCAACATTCGAATGGGACATTTGATCTTTTAGACAGGAGGGCCACCACTAGAATCTCCTATGCTTAATGATTATGTACCGAAGGCAACCGAAGTGAGGTAAACCCTAGGAGTGAACATGTGCGAGTGATTTGTTTCAGTTATTTTAATCTTTGGACATTAGGGTTTTCTAACTGTTTTAATTTTTCATGCATTCTTGCCATACAATCCTATTAGCCATATATCTAGACAGTTAAAAGTTTGCTGAAAGTAAAAGCGGAAATAAACCCAGCTATTACATGACTTTGACAGTTACACAATTGCCTTGATGTGAAATAAAAAATGCGGGATTTAAAATCCTAATTTAAACTATTACATCCTTGAAACAGTTACAAAATAATGGCAAAAATAATAACGAGCGCGCGACAAATTAAATACGGGAGAAATTAGGGTTTTGACCCTTGACTAAACCTAATTGCAATTGGTTAAAGAAAAAATCATTATTTTGTCGTTTTTGTGTTATTTAAGAAAGTACGGAATAATAAAAACCTAACTACTAATCAATTTAAGAAAAATAAGTAAATCACATATTTTTGGTTTTTTTTGTTTGTTTGAAGAAAATAAAATAATTAAATCAAAAAGTTAAACCTAGTTTTCTAATTGATTTTAATTAAAAAAAATAAGTTAAAGTTTCCCTAAATTAAATAAGCTAATTAATTTAATTAAACTTGATAAAAAAAACTAATTCTAATTTTTATGACTTTTTGATTTTTATGATTTTATAAAAAAATGATTTTAAAAATAAAATGAATAAGAAATTAAGAATAAAGAAAATAAAATAATAAAAAGAGAAAAAAATTGAGGAATGGGCATGTGTTGTTAGAAATTCTGGGGGTGTAGAACTGAAAATCTGTGGCCCATTAAGCTCCAGGCCTGGTCAGCGCTAGATCTGGTATGGTGTTGACTTTGTGGTACACCATGGTCCTTCATTGGAGAGGCGTAGGATCTGGCCAGCTGAGCATCCAATGGACGTACGTTGATGGCACATGATGGGCGTTGGATGGTGTAATGCATGGGATTGGCCTGTAATTGTTAAGAAAATAGTAAAATGCACACACCTGGGATCGAACCCAGGACGTGTACATCAAAGGCAGGCTTCTTTACCATCTGCGTTGGACTTGTTAATTGGATATATTATAAACAAATAAAATCAAAAGCAAAGTTAATTGCCATGCTCAGAAAACACACAAATTTTCAAACGTTCCAATGGTGGCTTGACACGCCATCATCTTCTCCCTTGAACTGTGGCTTTAGATGAAGCACTTTTACCTACGGACGTTTGTCCGTAGCTACAACCATGTCCATCTCAAAAATCCTGTACATGCAATATAAATCAATTATAATGGTACCAATCAACTCGTCTTGGTCTCACGAGTGTCATGATACCCCATTCATGGTCAAATTTTCCCTGTACCAGGAATCCCCAAATCGAGCTCTTAAACCCTAGCAATGGTGAATATGGATTCCTGCACTATTAGTACAATTAAGCTATACAAAAAGCTTGCAATCATGATTATGAATAAGAATATATGGATAACATGCGTTTAGGATGCGTAAAACATTGAAATCGAGTTTGAGTTTTTTGTGCAAATCGTGATGTTGTAATGTGGTGATTCTGGATGCTTCAAGGCTGGAAAACGACGCTATTAGCTTCCTGAGATGTCCAGGAATGGATTAGAATCCTTGGAATGATTCGAATTGGCCCGTGGAAGAAGATAGGTCTCACACTTTTCTTTGAAATTTTGCAGTTTTGTTCT